GTTGGATCATGTGTTCATGAATTATGTGTTGAATATATGAATTGATGATTTCATGATGTATGTATGATTTTAGGCCCTCTAAATAGGTTTTTTAGGATGTTATAATTGTTACATAATTGTAGTATTTCAAATTCTATAACTGGAACTTTTTACGAAATCAAATTCGGAAGTCCGGAAGGCCTCCAACTGCGAAAATCGCACTTTTCTGGTTTGTTGTCCTGGGGGAGTTTATTGAGTAATTGTAGCGAAAGTTACAAGTTTACCTTCTGTGATGATTTCTCTAAGAGAAAGTTAGCGAGCAGTAGTAAAAGTTCGTTGAGCGAGCAGTAGCGAGTGATGGCAAGATGGGCGTAGCTTTTGATTCGTAAGTCCAAATCGAGCGTCGTTCGAAGCATTAGAAAGCTAACAATCAGGGCTATAACATGGCAGTGGTTGGTGAGATTTTTTGAATATTATCCGTTTACCTATTGTGACATAATTGTATTTGATTGTTCATATGTTGTTTTTTACTATGACATGCTTTGACGTTTTACCTTATAACTTTTGACCCGTAAGTCCAAATGACGCCCCGTTTGGAGTGTTAGAAACATAAAGTTCAGATACATGACATAATAATGATAGGTAAAAGTTTTATATATTATTCTTATATCTACTATTTTTTGGAGTTGATTGTTTATATGTTCGGTTGATGAATCAATGCATTGTAGTGATAATGTCGTGTGATAATGATGTCGATATGTTGATGATGTCATGATAATGTTGTTAATATGTTGATGATGTGGCTGTGATGTTGATTTGGTGTGGAACATGAGTATCAAGTTGTGAGAATTATGTGTTGTTGTTACAAGATTGTATGTTTATGAGTTCGCATATCTGAGTTAGTGAAGTTGATGTTGTTGTTTGTTGTAGTAATATTAATTTATGTTGTGTATGGTGTATAATGTTATGAAGATGTTGTTAATTTTATGTTGTATATTCAAATATATGCATGCTATTTCAATGGTGATTATGTTGTTGGTGGCATACACGTTCAGAAGAGGGGCCAATATGTATGTGTTGTTGTTGCATGTTGAGAGTCCATGAATTCATGTTGTCGAAACTTGGTTCTTTTTGGTGAGCATCGATCCTATGGTGATGGATCGGGTGCGAATAGCTAATTCTTATTATGAGGGATTAGTGAAGTGTTTCCTATGGTGATGGTAACGAGTTTTTGTGAGACTCGATCCCATTGTGATGGTTCAGGTGTAAGTAGTTAATTCCTATTATGGGAGATTAGTGAAGCGTTATCTATGGTGATGGTAACAAGTTTTGGTGAGCCTTGATTCCATTATGATGAATCAGGTGCGAGTAGCTAATTCTTATTATGGGAGATTAGTGAAGCGTTATATATGGTGATGGTAGCGATTTTGGTGTGCTCCGGTTCCAAGAGGGAATCGATCCTATGGTGGGGATCATGGAGTAAGATAAACCTGAATGTTCATATTTGGTACCATATGCATTGCATCAGAGTTGTTGCATTAACATCCTATGTGGCATTGCATGAGTTTTATTGATGAAATATGATGTAATGATACTTGTAATTGCTATGTCACTATGTGTGAATTTTGTGGATGAAGATAATATGTGAGCTATTTATGATGAATGAAGGTCTGAGTATATGTTATGTTAATGATATTGAATTATAGACTATACTTGTTGAAGTATACTTTTCTCTTATGTTGTTTATGATTGATTAAGATTACTCACCCCTTCTGTTTGAATGTTACCTCTACGTGGGTAGCGCGCAGATACTCAGGAGGAAGACTCCAAGGAAGTAAGTGGAAGCTAACTATTGGAGCTCGTTTCAGTTTTTCATTTTAAATATGAGGGATTCTGCTCTGGTTCATGTAACATGGGTTGAGTTGACGTTTGTCTTCTTAATTTCTTGTGTTGTTTATTTTGAAGTATTTCCTAATGGTGATATTCTAAGATGTTGAACTGAGTATTGACGAAACTTATCTTTTGTTGATGTTATGGGTGTTGGAGTTTAAGACTCAATTTTAGTTGTGGAATTATAATTGAATTTCTTTATGATGAATCCGCTGCGTTGTTTTTAAAAGAACTTAATATCGTAAAAGCCTCATAAATGAGTGTGTATGATTTAATATATGTTTTTGTGTAACCCGTGTTACGGAGCAGGATAATTGTTATGTTTTATGAAGTATGACACCTTTGTGGTTGTGTTTATATGATTAAATTAATCGTTAATTTCGTGGGGTTTTAGAAGGGTGTTACATATGGCGTTTGTTTATCAAGCCCTAGTTGGGAGTAGTCTTTATTTTGATGAGAGTATTCTGAATGTGCTCTCAAGCTTCTCTGCCATTTGGGAGAGCTAGGCCCCCTCAAAGGTGATGATTTTCTCTTGACAACTTCTACGAGATAGATTTCCTTCCAAAGAAAATATATTTAAGAGGAATGTTTTTATTGATCAAGAGGAGAATTGTTGTACTTTTGTGGGTATAAAATTGATTTGGCCTCTCACATGTTTCTGACGTACAGTTTTGTTGCTAGTGTCTTGTATAAGATTTTCAAGTGGTTAGGGGTTCATATGACCCTTCCTAGGGACCTTTGTCTTGTTGTTTAGTTTTTCCTCTCCTTAAACCTAGGGCTAATTAGAGGGGTATGTTTATTCTTATTTAGCATGTTGTGGTGTGGTCTATTTGGTCTGCTCGTAATTATAAGTTTTTCACCGGTGTACCAAGAAGTTTGAAAGAGTTGGAGGATAAAAGTATTATTTTTGGCTTGGAGTTGGTTCCATCATAAAATATGAAATTTTTATCCTTCAAGAATTGACTCCAAAACCCTATCTTGTGTCTGATTCAATGGAGGGTCGAGATTTTTGGTCTGACTCCCTGATTTTATGTAGTTGTTGTTGCTTCATGTGGATCTAGTTTTTGCTTTCGGTGGTTCTCTTATCTGATATGTAACTTGGTTATGTTTGGGTTGTGTTTTGCTGTGTAGATCTCCTTTTGTTAAAATGATTGTTTGTGTGGTTACTCTTGTTGGGTCATGAGGAAGAGTATCAACATTAGGGTAAGAGCAACACATAAGTGAGAGAGACATCACATATTCACCCAAAATTTTAAGGTGATAGATGTGTGAGTTCTCCCACTTATAAATGTTCAAGTCTCTGTATTTATAATCAATGTAGGACTCCAACACACATTTGACTTATTATTCTCAATAATTTTACATCAAAATCAAAATTATTATTATTATTATTATTATTATTATTATTGATGTTTGAAATTCTTTAAATTAATTGTTATTGTTATTTGCTTCTCCCAGTATTATTCATGTCGATTTGAACAAGTATATTTTGAATTATCCATGAAAAATAGTTTATCGCATTAGCATTTTACAAGAAATAAAAAACAAAGACAAGAGGACATAAAGTTGTACCAAGAAAATTTTGGAGTTGTTTTGAATCTCTCCTATAAAAGGTAACTTCCAATTCCAACTTCTTATTTTGCATCGAACATATTTTTGTAGAAACAATCTAATCAATTAAAACAATTTCTGTCATGCCAAGAGACCTTAGCTGTATCATTGTGACTTTTGAGATCAAAGATGACATTTACAATATATGTTAAAACAAAACTAAGATATAAGAGGCATGTCACTCATGATGATAATTCACTCTTGGACTCACATAAATGTGCCAATTTTTAGTTGCATCACTATTCCTCTACTAGACTAGTCCATGGCTCACATGATTTAATGGTATCACATAGTTCACTTATTACAAATTTACAATGGTCCATTACTTAATAATATTTATGTATAAAAAAAAAAAAAGCGAGTATATATTTAAAGCTAAGAAAGGATCAATTGAACCGTCCAAATAAAAATAAGAATTGAAAATAACATAAGCAAACTCAACTAAAAGATAACCCCACCAAAAATATTTGAGCTTTTTTTCTTTTTATTTTTACATGGTTTATTACCAAATTGACCTTTAATCAATAAACAGTGTCATATCATTTTTGTTTGGGATATGAAGCAAGCAAATGGATTGAGATTTGAGAGTACCAAAGGGACCCACTTGAAAATCTTTTTTAAAATCATCATAAAAATATTTAAAAACTTCACTAATAGAAAGTCCAAAGAATAACGGCCATAGAGTGGAACCTTTCATTTCAAGAGTGTCTGTGAGAGAGAAAGACTGGAAGCATTTTTTCTCAATAGCAAGACAAAGGAAAGAATAGTTGCAAAAAAAATAGTTAGTTTTATTAGGTTCCCTAAATCATAAGGGTTGCTCACGTGGACAAATCTCAAACCGTTGGATTAAGAGTTGCGTAGTATCCTTAGTTGAGTACACGTGCTTCTTTACTACCCCTCTCTCTCTCTCTATTTTTATTATAGCTTTGCTTTCATGCATGGATTTCTCCTCCAAATATAGAAAAAGAGAAAAAGATAGAAAGAAAAAAAATCAACTCATAATAACATTTTTTTCATAAATCGAATATCTTCTTTGTATTAGTTTTCTAAATTTATTAAAAAAATTATAACAACTTGTAAATATTTATTTATAATAATCTCGTTTAAAAATATTAAAATTCTGAATGAATCGATCCAACACCAATTCATCGATAACGGAATTTAATTTGAGGAGTTTCTATTTTGGTTTTGGTTGTTTTTTATTTGTCTTAGCTTAACTTTGTTAATATCCATCATTAACAACAAAAGTAACAAGAATACACAACTCTTTGAAGTTTTGATCTTTTCTTCAAAACTCAACCACCCAAGAAGCTAGTACTACTACTAGTAGTAACTAATTCCAAAGGGTACTTTGCTTTGCTTTGCTTCGCTACTCATTCTCTCTCTTTCACTCTTTCTTTCTTTCCCTTTTTTCCTTCCTTAGATCTTGCACTACCTTGTAATTTTCTTCAAACTCATATCACACTTTTTCTTCTTTTCCTTTCTTATCTCATCCATTTTCACATCTTGTTTTCGTCTCAATGGAAAAACACCAAACTCAAGAACTCAAACACTCTTGCAAATTCTGTAACAAAAGCTTCCCTTGTGGTAGATCCTTAGGAGGTCACATGAGGTCTCATATAAACAACTCATCGCCATCATCTGAAAAAACAGAACAAAAAACAGAACAGAAAGAAAAGCTTGATTCAATCAACAACGGTTGCATTGGTTCCGAAACTAATGGGAGCTATGGTTTAAGAGAGAATCCAAAGAAAACATGGAGAAAGAGAATCGCAGATTCAAGTGAAGAGGGTTTGGTCTATGACAAGTTCTGCAAAGAGTGTGGAAAATGTTTTCAGTCTTGGAAAGCTTTGTTTGGTCACATGAAGTGTCATTCAGAAAAAGAAAGAGTTTGTAACAGCTTGGAGGATCAAGATTCATGGACTAATAACGCGAAAGATGTTCAATCGGATAACGAAATCACTGCTCCAAGTAGAAAAAGAAGATCAAAGAGAACAAGAACAAGGTGTAACATGGTTGCTGCTGCAACTGTAACAGCAACAACTTGTTCTTCTGTTTCTGAAGTTGAACAAGAGCAAGAAGAAGTTGCTATGAGCTTGATTATGCTTAGTAAAGATGTTAGTCCTTGGAGCGGTCTTGCTGAATCTTCCGATAACAATTCTGTTTACATCGAACGTCGATCTTCGGTTCGAACTAGTCTTGTTACTAAATTCAATGCCAGCAACAAGAATCTCACTAGTACTAGTACTATGAATATTGCGAAGTTGATGAAGCAGAAGAATTTCAACTTGAAAGGAAAAAGTTCGGAAATTTTAGATACTGAAAAAGGGTTCATCAAATCAACGAAATTCGAGCTTGATTATGTGTCAACATTGGTTGATTCAGAAGGTGAAAATGGAAAAAACATAGTCAATGGAACAGAATCGGTTACTATGGGAAAATTTGAGTGCACAACTTGCAACAAAATCTTTCATTCGTATCAAGCTCTTGGAGGTCATAGAGCAAGTCATAAAAAGAACAAAGGCTGTTTCGCTTCAAAGATCGACAACAACATTGAAAACAGCATTGAGTTCGAAAATGATCTGTCTCGTGAACCAACAACCGAAAGCAAGATCGTGAAGATTAGTCATAGCCATAACAACAATGAACATGCTCAAAACATGAAGATCAAAGGTCATCACGAGTGTCCAATTTGCTTTAAGGTTTTTCAATCTGGTCAAGCTTTAGGTGGACATAAGAGATCTCATATGGTTGTTGGTTCTTCCGGTGGTGGTTCTGAGAGTAGAGTTCCACAGATTAGGGACTTTCTTGATCTTAATCTTCCTGCTGCTGCTACTGAAGAAGGAAGTAGTAGCCATGCTGATTCTAACAGACCTTGGTGGATTGTTGAAAGTAACCATAAGCAAGAGGCACTTGTAGGGTAGAGAGACTCATCATCATTGGTTCAATTCAACTTCAGAGTGAAGATTTTAACTGTATAGGAATTTTTCTGCATTTATTTCATTCATTCTTTACTTTACATGGTTCATGTATTCTCCAAGGTATTTTTCTATTTTCTCATTTTAGTTTTTTTTTCTAGCAAGTGAAATGAACTTTCCTCTTTGTTTTCTTTTTTGTTTTGGGACACTACATGTTATATTGATATTGATACTTTGTTCATAATTTGTTCAAACCTTAATCTCAACATTTTGCTTCTCTTAAACACTATGTAAGATTTCAGTTCAACTCAGTTCAACTTAATCAGAGGAATTAACTTTGTCCTCAGCTCTTGAATAATGTTAAAATTTTTAAAATGAACTTTTTTTATTGGGAGATCGGTCTTCGCAGTTGCATGCAAAATAGTGTTAAATTTTTTTAAGAGAATTTTATCATTTATTGTAGTTATTTTCTTATTTAAAAGATCAATCTCGCAGAATAATATCGATTTTAACCATGAAAAAATATTTGCATAGTAGAGATGTAGTTAAATTGTATAAATTCAAAAAGTGAAATGGTTGTGGGGTAATAATAGATTTATGTATGCATGAAAGACAATGAATGAGGATAGGTACTAGAAGTGATTACATAACACATGAAGAGATAGAAAGTTAGAATTTATAATACTAGACATAAAGAAAGCATGTGAGCTCAAAGGTGGTTGTTTAGTCACCTACCATAAAAACCTGACTACCCATCCATCTCTTACTTGGCAGACACACAAGTGGTGTGTGCTAATAAATCCTTCTCACTAATTACTCACATTATTATTAATAATTCATCAAGAAACTGAGGTCGATAGCTGGACCACTACTCTATATGTAACTAACTTTAACTCAACAAAATTAAACTCACTTCTTAAAAATCACTTTTTTTTAATTAAATATATAATTTAGATGAGTTTACTACTAGTAGTAGTGGCAGATGATGATGCTGTTTTTGTCCTCTGTTGCATATAACAAATTGCACTGAAAGCTATGCAATCTGAACAGTGCTTTTTTTTTCCTAATAAACCAAATGTCTTTTATATAAGTAAGAAAAAATTGAAACAACATTATAAATAAAAACACTAATAATAGTTATGTATTAAATTGTTATTCCATATATCATTCATACATCATTCTCTATATTGACATAATATTTTCTATTATTAAAAAAGATAAAGTCTGAAGGTGATGGAAACAACAAGAAAAGAAAAAAGCTAAAATACAGATAGTAGTCTGCCAACTTAGTTTATAGATAGAGTCAATGGTTACTTAGAAGTTTGATTCCTAAATATGTTGATAGTGGGTTAAAAGTATATAATATAATAATGAAATGGAGATTAAGATCAGATTAACTCTTGATAAAAATGTGTCTCGTGCATTAAAAAATGGACACGTGGCAATTAGTTTGTTATTAGTAGTATATGGTAGGTGTCGTGAATTAAACAACAAATGATTAGTTCAGCTTTTATTGGATCTTGGGTTTTTAATTTTAATTAAACATGATGTCAGAGACTCAAGAGGATAGATAGTGTGTATACTCCTATGTGTTACTATGAAATAGCACTGCTAGTTGAATAACGAAAAATAGTATATAATTGTGTCTGATTGAGATTATATAATATACTGTACTTGTCTGCATAGTATTATATTTAAGGAATTTGTTAAATGAGAAATATATGATTCAAAGGTTAAATAGTGGTTTGGTTTTAAATAATTGATTGTAAGAAACTAACTATTCAAATCAGATATATTAAAATAGTTTACGAATACTTACTTAGATTATTTAGATTTTATTATTATTTATAGTTATATATTTTTAGAGTGAAATAAAATTTATGTTACTTTTAAATTGAAGAATATTTTAGGAGGTTTAAATAATGCTGTGTAGATCTAATTGAAGGGGTGTAAGTATCACACTGCCTAAACCAAAGACAATGCAAACGAAATTGGGCCTTCTTTTTGTACACTCGGCTTTGAGCTTTTCCCGAAATTTTTCCAGCAACCTCCCACTTATATCTACATTCTCTCTATTTTTGTATTGAATAAAATATTCTTTTTATTATTTATTCAATTTTAAAATTATATTTGGTCCAAAAAAATCCACTCTCAAAAAAGCATTAAGATTTTAAAAATTCAGCAATTAAAAGATCCGAAAATTATTTTTGACTGAAATAGAGCAAATGTATTATTTTTACCGTATTTTTAAAATTAGGTATGAGTTTTTATTAGACTTTTAAAATTTTGATATTTTTTATCAAATTTTTGAGAATATGATAGTTTGTAATTTTTGAATTTTTACAAAATTTGGTGATTTATTTTCAAAATACAAAAATAACAAAGTTTAAAAAAAAAGCAAAGTTAACATTACCGTATTTTTTGATAATCCAATATTTTTGATAATTTTTAAGTATATTTGAAAAATCTGATATAAAATCATAATTCTTTTAAATCTATAATTTTATATCTAATATTTGAAAAATCCGATATAAAAAATATAAGTTTGCACCACTTTTATAATTGAAAAAACTGATACACTATCATAGGTTTTTGGGGAAAAATAATAAATTTATAACTATTTTTAAGAAATTGACGCAAAATTCATGTTTTTATATCTGTTTTTTCAAAAATCCGATAAAAAATTCATGAATTTCTTCAAAAACCCAGTAAAAACTCAAAAAAAATTCAAAAATCGTAGAAACACAATATTTTTAAAAAATGTATAAATTCACAAAAGATATTATGATAAAAGCATAACTAAATGGGGTGCAAATATAAGTAGGGAGAGTGGCAAGACAAAATCTCACATTTCACGAATGAATGTATTGGAATAGAAATTCATCGTAATGTGCCTAATTCAGAAGAATTTTACCTGCCGTTGATTTTCTTATAAATGACATCCTCTATAGTATCATTTTTACCATAATAACACGGACTTAAAATTACAACTTTAAATATTTAAATTGTCATTTTTCAGAGTTTTTGAAAAATCTTAGATTTCTACCGCGTTTTTTGAAGCTTCTACTGGATATTTACAAGTTTTAATTTCTTTTCATTAAATTTATGCATTTATAATGTATTTTCATGAAAACTATGTTTTTTACCAGCATTTTTTAAATATCTGGTAAAATCTAAATTTTTACATGCATTTTTGAAAAATGTGGTATTCTACATGCGTTTTTACCGGCATTTTTGAAATTGCCGATAAAAATGGATACATGTATACAAGGTATTTGCAAATGGTGTTGTAGAAATACATAATGCTAGAGATATAAGGACTTTAATGGTAAATGGACATCGACTAAAGGTTTATGTAGGAGGTGAGATTGCACCAAAAAGGTAGCTTTGGTGCTCATAAAGCCTTAGGATTTAAGTCAAACTAATGACCTTAAATAAGCGATGAATGAGAGGCAACCAATTGAGTTCAGTGAAACATTATCTCTTATATTATTAATGTTATTATTAGTTAGGAAAAGGGATCTAACTTATGATTGGTTACCTAAAATTAGAACTGTTTGATAAGTCTGTTAATGTTGTTTGTTTGTGCTCGTTACTTTTCAATTTAGTTACTATCGTACCCATGAGAAGAAAAGTAGTCACAAGAAATAGAGAATAAATTGATCAAGATCAAGGTGCCCTTACTGAGTAATGATTGATGAAGAAAGGGACATCACTGCTGCTACTTAGCCTAACATGTCTAAACTTGTGAGGCTTGAGTCATAATATTTCCATTGTTTACTTATTTCTTTTTCTGAGTTTATACATGTAATTGTATCAGTTTAATATGAGTTGGTTTGTTTGGTAGAATATTGTTTGTAACAGTCCATAAACAAATCTGTTTACAATATCAGTTCACATAACATGAATTCCAAAATGATTTGCATAACACATGAATTGATTTGTATAACACACTACATAATTCCAAAATGGTTCCAAAATGACATTGCCATGTTCACAAGACATAACAAAATTCCATAAAGGTTCTAAAATGACATTGACATGTTACATAAACATGTTCAAGATACATTACATAATACCAAAAGTAATTCAAAATACATGCTAAAACCATTAACTAGACAAGGGCTAAATAACACTAGATGTTCTTCATAGGTGTGATTCTATTGGTTGGAGTAGACATCTTAGTTATTGGGCTAACTACATTCTTGGTTGCAGATAATCTTGTTGTTGGTCTTAGGGGTACAAATGGTCTTCTTACTCCTAGCTTTTGTGTCTTGCCATTTTCTTGAGTTGCACTGCCTTGAGTTAGAGTTCCTCGAGCTGCACTGCCTTGAGTAGTTGGCCTTTTCCCTTGAGTTGATTGAGTTGTCTTGCCCTGAGATGACTTAGTCGGTTGAGTAACTGGCCTTTTCCCTTGAGTTGACTGGGTTGCCTTGCCCTGAGATGACTTAATTGGTTGAGTAGCTGGCTTTTTCCCTTGAGTTGACTGAGTAACATTCATACTTTCTTGAGTTACATTGCCCTGAGATTTCTAAATGCCTTAATTCAAACTTGTGTTCATTAGACATTCTACAAATGTTTAACATATCGGTATTAACCTTAATAATCATTGCTATAAGTACCAGTAATAACCAATATTTCATACCCGACAAGCCATAATTTGGTGAATGTGTTTGTTCTATCAATCTTTCTTCTAATTTTAGGAAAAATATCATCATTAGAGACATTTTTTAACCTCATCCTACTGTTTTCCCATATCTCCATAATATAGGTTCCGATCTCTTCCAGCATAGTGACTAATGGTTTAGCCCTTGACTTAAGAATAACACTATTAAAAGACTCTAGCATGTTGTTGAGAACAACATCACACTTGTTAGTTGTCCTAAAATATGATCTACTCCAATATCTTGGTGGGGATTTCATTATATGGAGATATGCATCTTGGTTGTTCACTCTCATTCCCCTCATCTCTTTTTCCCAAGCTTCCAAATAAATTCCTTCAACATCTTTCCAGGATACTTCTTCCAGAAATTGTTCTGCAAATGCCTCACACAGAATCTTTATTCAACATTAGGCAAAAGATAATCCATTGTAGGTAAGAGACCCTACAAAACATCATGCATAACAAAAAGTTAGCAAGTTTACACAACAGGAAAAATAATGTAATAGTAAGAGGAAACAATCAAGTTTATATACCTAATTTTGTTGGTCTGAAATGAATGTGTATGAAAGGCACTCATTTCTACCACCTAAGTCATTAATCAACAGCTCCAAAAACCATGTCCAGTTATCCCTATTTTCACCCTCCACAACTGTAAATGATATAGGAAACATTTGATCATTAGGATCCCTGCCTATGGCTGCTAGAATTTTTCCTCCAGAAAGCCCCTTCAAAAAGCATTCATCCAGACCTATGACATGTCTACATAATTTGAAGCTCTCTTTACATGCTACATAGCATATGTACAAACCTTCTAAAAAAAGGGTCTTTGATCATCAACACCTGCTTGAACAGGTTCAACATTTAGCTTAATTGTTGACCATGGATTATATCTTAAAAGCTCACGAAAATAGTCATAGGTTTTAGTGTAATCTCCTAAGAAAGAACCATCAACCTTTCCCCTAGCAGCAAGTCTTGCTCTGATTGCTTTAGTCTTGTTTACCCTTACATTCCACTTCCTCAATACATTTTCCCTTATATTCTTTACCTTCATCCTACAATTATGTTTGTCATTTACCTTCCTAACTTGTCAAGATTCTTCATTTCTCACTCCAGCATTGACATCCCCCATTCCAACATTGTTTGATTCCAATGCAACATTGGTTGAGTCAACTGCAACATTACCTTCTTCCCCACTAGCATTACCAGCATTAAACTCATCTACAATGTCATCATGCAGTTTATTAAGCAACTCTTTCACCTTATCTACAATGTTATCAGTACCCTCTTCAACATCATCAACAACATCATCACAATAATCAAGCTGAGACAAAGTGCATTAAATGAAGATATCAACACTTTGGTGCACCCTATAAAGATTTACAATTTCTAAAACACATTTGTCATCTACAAGGGCATTCATCCCAAATGTAGGATCCTTGTAATATATTGTCTCAAAGTCCCTATAACCTAACTCTTTCAATACACTAACTAACTCAAAATAGCTCCACTTATCAACATTTACTAGTCCTCCTTCATACACACTTAGTTCAGGATCAATGAATTCACCATTGTGATGAATTTTGTGTTTCAGAAATTTGTCCATTATCCCTATATTGAGTTTCAAATAGAGTACGTCAAAGCCTTAAAACATGAAAAGTTCTAAATCTACCAAAAAAAAACCCTAAATCTACAAATCTACAGAAATCTCAAAATTTTGCTCTATTTTAGTTACGAAAACATGCAAATAATATTTACTTGTGAGTGAAATTTCGTCTTCAGACATTCACTTCGCTTGATTCTGCCAGCTACTTAGGGTTCGTCTTCAATCGTCTCAATCGTCTACGTGTATCTTCAACTGCTTATGGTTCCTTCGTAATGAACAACAATACAAAGTTTCTTTGATACTATAATGAGTAACATATCCACATCAACACAACGTTTCTGAAATTATCTTGAGTCACATATCCCACCTCATCTAATAACATGCCACTTGACATCTATTTTTTACTTTGACTAACGTCTACTATCAAAAGGACAATCGTGATAAAGTTTCAAAAATTAAATGACCAAAATGACAAAAATAAAATAAAATTAAAGGAGTCATGTGAATTGAAAGTATAGTTAAGGGACAAAAATAATATTTTGTCAAAATTTTATAAAATAATTTTAAATTTTTTTATTTAAAAACATACCACAAAATCTTTCAAATAGTATTATTCAACATCTATCTCTATACATAAAGTCATATAAGTGGATCCAAACTTAAATTCGTAAAAACTGAACTAAAATAAAATTTAGCAGCATTGAAGGGAAAGATAAAACTTTCACAAGCAAAACCTTCGAAGGGCCTGCACGTGCATCATCATCATCATCATCATCATCATCATCATCATCATCCATCACATTTTCAAAATCCATGCTCTGGTAACTTTCATTTTTTCCCTCTAGTAATCAATAAATATGCGTATTAAGTTTATAAATGAAGGGAAATAGTTTGTTCTAAGTCTACGATACTTTACGTGCCTTTGATTTCGGTTTTCCATTTCACTAGACGGAGTCTTCCCTCAAATTCCCATCTTCTAACGGTAAGCGCGTCGATTTTACTTCTAGGTTATACAAGTGATACAATATTCCCTTAATTCCAGAGCAATCATCTCGAAACAAGATTCAGAGAGGTACATTTTTATTAAACCTAACCCCAGTATCATTTCTCTGGATTGTATTATCAAATTATTTATTTTTTTTCCAAAATTCATAATTTATTAGTCATGGGAATCACTTGATTCCGGCCAATCTCAAGTCCGCGCCACTGCAGCTACGAGGTACTGTCCGTTTTGAATGTAATAACCTTCACGAGGTTGTCCTGTAGAAAGACCTCTAGTTGGTTGTTGGGTTGAGGAGTTTGGGTGCTGTATATAAACTACCCTTAACTTCCATTCCCAAACAATAAGAGACTATTTTGGCCATCTCAGAACATTGGCCAGAGAGACGAAAGAACAATTCAATGAACATGTGGTAAATGAACAATAGATAGTGAAATTGTACCTTCCACCTAGACTCAGTTGGTCTTGGTTCTTGAAAACTTGCCAATAAATTGTACAGATTGATACATGAAATTACAATAAAGTTTCAAAATTTGAGTTTTCTTCTTTTCTATGTTACGAAAACAACTGATCCTGAACTGCCAATCTAATTTATGACATTGATGCAAATACTAGAACGGCACAAAAAGTCATTTTCGATAGCTCATATGGAAGATAAGAAATACATCCAGAATTTGGAACAAGAGCTGTTGAATTGTTCTCAAGAAATAGGTATTTTTTTATATCTCCATTTTTCATGGCACACATTCAGCTGTGTGGATAAAAATTTATTGCATTGATGAACTTTCATTCGTAAACCAATTTTGAAAGATGATTGTCTTTGGAGAGTAATTTGTCTTTCCTTCTTGGATGCCATTTTGCTCTGAATACTTCTTCGTATTAACTTTATCATTCCCATGTTTACATTTGAGGTTTCGGTGCTCTTTAATTGATATAATTTAATTTTCATTTTATACAGATTATCTTCAGGATCAACTCAGTGCAAGAAACACGGAAGTGAACTATCTGAAAGAGCGTGCGCGCGATCTTGATTTGAAATTCAAAGAGATGGAAGATTTACGAAAAGAAGTTTTCAGCTTAAGGGAGGAGCTAAAAATCTCCAATTCAAAGCAATTTTCTTTGATTCGGGAACTAGAGACTAAAGAAGCGGAATTAGAGCTATCAGCTTTGTCCGTGGAGAAACTTGATGAATCATTTTCATCCATGGGATTAGAGTCTCAGTTTGAAGTTGAAACTATGAAGCTTGATATGATGGCCTTGGAACAGGATTTATTCGAGACCAAGAAAATTCAGGATGAAACTCTAGAAGAAAATAATAGATTGAGTAGATTTATCGATGAGTTACAGGGTGCATTGCAGGATACACAAGATACGATCGTCTATTTGAATGAAGAAAATAAGGAAATTAAAGAGAAACTTGATGCTGCCAACATGAATACTAGATTATTTTCTCAAAAGGTTGAAAACTGGCTGGAAAACAAGGCCAGACTGCAAATCAAGGATCAGTCGAGAAGCAGAGCAGAAGACACAAGGTACATATTTTGAAGTTTTGTAATATGTATGATGAATCGGGTTTCTCAATCTACTTTTCCTACTCTTTACCATGATCATAATGAATAACTGAGTGTCTGGTATTGTAAGTGTTAATTGACTTAATTGCAACTTTTTGTATTTTGAATTTGTATGATCCCAAAATAGATGGGATAGATTCAAACAAATAAGGAAATGAGTAAATCTCTTACTAGTTTATGCAAGTTGATTTATGTTTCATTTGGCTCCAAATTCCTCATGCTTATATTTTAGTTTTTAATCATATCCCGAATGCAATGTTTTGCAGCCAACATGCATATAGAAATAAACTACCTAGTTTGGATTAACTTCTAACTTATGAAATCTTTTCAAGTAAAATAAGCATTTAGTTTCTAACTCAAGTAAAAATTTAGGTGCCAAAGTCGATTTAAACTTATGAGAGAAACCATTAGTTAAGTATTCATGGCTATTGCACAATCATTTTGACTAAGTTTTACATTCCTGACTGTAATTGTTGAAAACGTTATCTAAACTAGCTATGTCTTTTTCACTAGAAGTTAGTGATAAATAATGTTGGTGCCTAATTGTTTCCTTTTATATCCACAATTTTACAATTTGAGCGCCATACATTCACTAAACTTTCAAGTGTGCATTTCGTAATATTTCCTCAGAATTTATGGAGAAACATTGGGTCCACTCCTTGGTATTTTAGCAACGAAGTTAGATCCAGCTGCAGAATTAAAGGAGGAAATGGACATGTCCTGTCAGATCCGAGAATATGAGTTTCTTGTGGAGAAACTCAAGGTACGACCACCCATTTAAAACTTAATCATTGAAGTGCTCTTTGTGAACTTATTAAACGCAGAAGATAACGAAACTTGTTGGACATAATTTTACGATTCAAGTAATTCTTTACGTCCTTTACTAGGAAGAATTAAGAGTGGAAAAGTTGAGGGCAAAAGATGAAGCAGAAGATTTAGTTCAGGAAATGGCAGAGCTGAGATACCAACTTACAGGTCTGCTTGAAGAAGAACGTAAGCGTCGTGCTTGCATTGAACATGTGTCCTTGCAAAGAATTGCCAAGTTAGAATCTCAGGTATGAAATTAGAAGTTAAAAAATATATCCTTTTTCCTCCTTATCCACTAGAAGTCCATTCAAAGTTGTAACATTTTCTTGTTTTCCTTTCTTATTGAAGCTTCAAAGAGAACATAGAAACCCGTAACTGCTGTCGAATACTTTATTGAAAAATAGTGGAACAATTGAAAAATAGAAACCCGTAACTGCTTGTCAGAAAAAAAATGGAGTTTGCTACATTCTTAATCCCAAAGTACTGAAGTTTTCTTCATGCCGGTTTCTACAACATATATGTACACTATCAATCTTCCACTTTCCTTTATGACTCTTGTCAAGTGTTTCACAAGATCACCTCTTCTAATTTGAATTGCTAATCTTTCGCAGGTTGCTATAATCTTGACAGTGCTTATTTTTCTTCTCAATGAAAATTGAAACCTAGGATTTCTTCTTGTGCTTTGGTGTCAGCTTCTATTGAAGTCAAAAGATTCAAATCAAACGAACTACTTGAAACTCCATTGTATGACACAAATTCCTGCTTTCACCATCAGTCATCACTATGTTTGTATCACATCCTCGACCATCTCTCGACATTTCAGTGTTATTTTTGTTGTTTGATATGTTCCATCCAGGGCTAGAATACATGTTCAAGTCTAAACACAATTTTAAATAACGGCCATTAAATTAATTGAAATCATTGTCAATGATATAATTATATTTGAAATTTATCTTTGTTTACTTCTTCATCAAATCCTAAATGTTGAAATACATTTTTTTTTAGTGTTAGTCCTTTTAATTTAATTTTAATTTTCACTTTAATCTCTTATTTAATAAATGTTACATTTTAGTCTCTTAAAAGCCATTATGTTAGTCAAGTTGGTCTTTTTTTGTTAAGTTTGTGAAAACATGTTAAGTTGTGCATACATGGCATGACAGATGATTCAACAATTTAATAAAATGACTGAATTGAAACTATATATATATAATTAAAGTATCAAATTGAAACTTTTTTATATTAACATAATTTTAGATATAATACATTAAACTAAAATTCTTCCGTTTTTCTTCCCCATCAAAAACACATAAATAATGAATTCAAAAATATAGAGCAACATAACTAGAATGAAATAACTTCAGCCACAAAAATCTCATTCATCCTAGACATCATTCAGCTAATCTTGATTGGCTCAACCTCTACTGAATGAAAAATTTCTTTAATTGCTAATCTTGAACAAACTCTTCAACTGTTGATCTCTGGAAAAAAAAAACATAAAAAATCTCCAAATTTTCAAATACACTTTTTATTATCAAATTTTGTAAATAAAAAAATGCTCAATATGTCATACCCAAAACAAATTTAATTTGGATAAATTATAGAAAGGAAAAGTATTACCTTGTTTATTTTTATACCCCAGGTTTTTCTCTAAATCCATGAGAATGAAAACTATATTAGTTTGATTGAAAACTGCAGGTATGATCATAATTACATTACATTAGGTATGACCATGAACACTGAAGAGTGAAAGATATATCAGTTACAATAAAATGACTAATTGATTTCAAAAATAGTTATTTAATATTATTTTGTCCTCTTAAATTCAACATGAAACAATGAATTTGACAATGACTATGAAAGATATTTATCTGGAAAAAAAATGAAATTTAAGAAATGAACTGAAAAGATGAACACAACAAGTTCTTGGAGACAATATTCAATTGTGGATTGAATCCATTCTTTGAATAATATTGCAATTCATATCAATAGTAATCATACAATATTGGTAGGAAAAAATTAACTAATAGCATAAACATGACACTAATTTGCTCAAGTGAAAAAAATTAACATAAAGATAAACATGACGTAAAGTGAAAGAAAAAAGATACTCATAAATAAGATTTTTTTTTCAAATTTCAAACCAACAGCGACTACCATAGGCCTTACTCTATCTTCTAGCACCTATATAAAAATTGTGACGTGAAGTGAAAGTCATTTGTTTAAGCAATGTTGCATTCCTTAATAAATTAATAATAGCAAACATAACACCACATATTTTAAACCATTATGAAAAATCCTACATATTCTCTTCTTTGTCTTGGTATCTAACCATTTATATGTGATGATATTTCCGTAACTCCCATTCTAATCTGAAATTGAATAATAGTCGTAATATTAAAATTCCATCAGACATATAAAACAAATTAAAATAAGGGTTAAATAACTCACTGATAGAGAAAGTTTTGGGAGATGCTGAGAAGCCATTGCAATATCTAAAATTCAAAAGTAGTCAATCTTAGGATTATATGCTTCAACAATAAATAATTTCAATTGTCTAAGTTTTTTAAATTGAACCAAATACTCCTTCGTTAACTCGGATATCTGTTTACAGAAGTAACATTTAAAAGCAATTATTGAGAAACACATAAACATTAGAATGTATGGGTTTTGAGTGACTCACCTGTGAAAGGCTCATATGCATAGGGAAATTTTCAACCTGTGAGAGGTTCATATGCATAGGGAACAAACAAACTGAAAATGCAAGAAATTTAAATTACCATTCATGAAATTAAACCTAACAATCTTCGAAGAAATCCAGCAAAAATCGGTCATGAAATCTTTGAAATTAGTGTTTAGAAAATAGAACCACATTAGAAGATAGACTTAAGAGTATTAAGTTCATAGAAGATCTGCATTTTGAAAGCATCTAGGAGATTTAGTAGCATAATATAAAATCTCATGCCATAACCTTTTTTGACATGAAAATTGATTTAGAAGCAATAAAAGGATGAGGATAACAACTTACTTGACGAATAACAAAAGCATTAAAGATTGAAGTGAAAACTAAAGAGAAGAGAGAAAGAGAGGAAGAAGTGAGAGAGGTGGCAGTTAGAGTTTGTGAAAGAGAGAAGAAGATTGTTTCGCTTCTTTTGTTTTTTAAATTTTAAATTAATATTAAATAAAATAATTCCATGTCATCTAATTTAGTCTAGTTGGAGTGTCACGCATACACAAGTTAACGGAATTTGACAAAGTTTAACCGATAGAACCGATGTGATTAACGAAATAACATTTAAGGGACTCAGAACTAATGTTTATTATATAAGAGACTAAAGTGACACCTGAAATTAAGTTAAGGGATCAAAGAATGCATTAAGCCTTTTCTAATCTATTTTCATATTTTAAACACCAATTTTTCTATAAACATATATAATTTTATATTTGATTTAATTGAAATTTTGGTCCCTTTATTTTTATTTTTACTTTTAATTTTGATCTTACTATTTTAAAATTCAAATTTTCAGTCCTTCCATTTAGATTTTTTAAAGAATAAGTTTTAGTGACATGACAATCCATTTGATGATGTGTCACAGTCACATCTACAACAATTATTTCTATGTCATTTTTTATTATTTTTTACTTGATAATTTATAATTAATTTTATTTTAATACAAATTATAATATTTATATAAAAAATAAATTACAATAAATTTTTAATTAATTTTTTAGAGTATAGTACAAAATTAAATTACAATAATTTTTTTATTTTTTATTTCAAAATATATATATATATATCTAATTATATATATCTTTTTTAAAAATTGAAGATTTCAAAGTAACATTCTTTAGCACAACGGTATTTGATCTGACCTGATCAGAAAGAGGTCGCGGGACGGCCACACGCTGCTGGGCTTCTGCCTGTTCTACGGTTGTTAGCTCCTAAATTCGACGCATCAGCTAGAAAGAAAGTTTCTAAAGAAGTTAGCTCTTAAATTCGACGCCTCAGCTAGAAAGAAAGTTTCCAAAGAAAAGGGTGGAGAATACCTTGAATACAGGAAAATGGTCGAAAGGAGGAAGAAGCTAAGTCGAAAGACCCACCCCGAGGCCAAGGGTTCGACCGCCTGCCAATAACGAATGGTGCGTCGAAGTATTTGAAATTTGAATGTTGGAGGGAACGGTTTTGCTTGTGGAAAATGGAGGGAGACACGTGTCACCTTATGAATGATGGATCCATGCATTTAGGACAAGTGGCGGAAGGAGATTATGTTGGAAGTTATTAGAGGTTATTTTTTGTTACTATAAATAGAGTGTCTTAGACACATCCAAAGTGTGTTGTAATTTACTATTTGTGCAAGTCACTCCTAAATTTACTCAAAGTATCCGAGTGTAGAGAAAAGAGTATCAAGGAGAATGTACGCGATGTAAACACACCACCTTTTAAACTTAATGCAATTTATTTGTTTTCACTTTAAGTTTTACAAAGTCTTTTACTGCATTTATTGTCCTTACCCTTTTTTACTCTTTACCTTACTTCTTTTCCCCTTATGCAATTCTTTTCTCTTCGCCCTCAAACTAAATTCACCTTTACCAACAAACTTTCTTCTTTTTTATTAGAAGCCTTATTTTACCTGCAAATCAACCCGTAGTCGAATAGATGTTCTTTTAGGATTCTGTTTATCCCAACCTTATTCGAGTGTGGAACTTGGATAAAGTCTTTAAACCAAAAAATAAATCTTTTAGCACATGTCCTAGGATCAATCTGATCGATCCTGTGAGTCACCAAAGTTAGATTTGGAAGATCAGCGGTTGTTTTCCGATTTTCAAGGGAAACAAAATGGCACGCTCAGTGGGACAGTGCTAGGAAATCTATTTTATAAAACTAAACTTATAAAAGATTCTGCAGTCTTATTGGTCCTTTTTTTCGTAAGAGGGTACACTTTTATGTTACTGAGAAGTGGTAAAATTACCGTTGTAAACGAAGAGACGCAATCAAGACGAAGCAGTAAGAACATGGCTACGGATACAAACCAGCCAGATAACTCCAACCAACGAGGAGACGATTCCATCGAAGGAATAAGAGACGAGGGAGTTCCCCCTCCGATACCGTCAACCGGAGAACAAACGGTGCTTCCTGTGAGGCCAGTGCCGACGCCTTCAGCGCTTGGAGTGGGATCGACAGTGATAAGGCCTTATACTCAACCAGTGTTGGAATACATTGGTCACCAGACGTTAAATCCTCAGATTGTGTTAGGAGGGAGTTCGACGTCCAGGCAGTTTGTGCCTCCTGGATTTTCACAGTCACCTAGAAACCCTTCATATGGGATGCCCACTGCTATGATGCAAGGGCCCTAAAGTGCACCCCCTATATTTTCAGA